TTGGAGAGACCAGATGTTAATGACATCATTCCTCATTTGAAGAGGAGGATGTGAATCACAATAGGTGGGAAAAAAATTTAATGAAATGGGTTCTAGATGGACATGACAACACTGAAACCTAAGCAGGAGGTGACATGACATAGTGGTCACATAATGATCAGATGAAACATTTACAGTGTTTAGGCTACCAGTTTTAACAAGATTATCTACATGTTTTAAATCTAAAGATGCACATTTCTAGCAACTCAAACTCTGATATTTATTTGGCCTTACTGTAAACCTAATGCCACGTTTATAAACCTATTAGAGATATAAACTAGAAAAATCCTTCAGCTGTGACAGGGGTGAAACTAGTAGGAGGATTTTTTTTTTTTTTAAGCTAATCATGTAAGGAAACTCCAATCCTAACTATTTTTTGATGTCGTCTTGGATAAAGCATAAAGGGCTACTGCTGTGCTGGTGACAGCTGCAAAATGTTACATTTTAATGTTGCAGAATGGTCTTCAGGCAGCTCAGGCTTCCTAATGAGGTCTCAGACAGCAGAAACACAAACCAAAGTGGGGAACGTTCCCTACTTAGGGCTCATGTACACTGCAGCTCCTAAACTGACATTCAGGGAATGTTGAGTGTTTTTTTTTTCAGCAGCCCCTGAACTCTTCTTAACCTCCTCGGCGGTCTGATTATTTCCGATTTGTTGTGCTGAAAGCGGTACCATTTTTTTGCATGGAAATATGTAGTCTTTTATTGTAGGCTGTAATTTTTAGGAATAACTCACTGAAATCTGTACGAACAAGAGTCTATTAAACATCCCGGATATGATAAAATTTGAAACACGAAATCATAAATTATAATTTAATAAATAATCATAAAAAATAATATAATAATAAATTTAATTCAATAATTTAATCAAACCAAAAAACACTGAAATTTGAAATACAGAGGCAAATTCGCACATCGCTGAGCAAAGTCGCAAAATCGTTTTCAGTGTCTGATGATGAATTTCCCCACAAATCATCACTCAATTCTGCAAGTGGTTCTGATTTACTATCGCTGTTCTCTAGCTGGTCTAAAACCGCTTTTGATGTAAAGGGGCGCTTTTTGGACGCCATGGACTTTTCTAAGTTTCCAGGTGGAAAGAACAGTCAAAATGCAGGCAGGGCACAGGACAAAGCAGTAGGGACAAAATGTATGTGAAATGCAGTGAAACAGCAATGTTTTACTATGTAATAATCATTTAAAAAAAAATTAAATTTTTTAAAAATTTCAAATTTGCCACCGGTTCCCGCGCCTGTACGTCCCGACGTGACAGGGACCGGAACACAGAAGCCGGATGCCGGCATCGGTCGGAGGAGATGGCCGGGGACGCTGCAGGGGACACATCGCGGGAGCGAAGGACAAGGTAAGTGCTGCAGGGACCCCCTGAGCAACGCCGCATGGTAAGCCCGAGTGTAGCTCAGGGTTACCGCTCTTGGTACTCAAATTTTACCCCGAGCTACACTCGGGAATACCACTAAGGAGGTTAATGTTTACCTATGTGTCCATGTACACTATGTTGTTTACAGGCAGTTGAGTTTACAGTCATTTTTTTTTTATCACACCAAACTTGCGTTCAGGAGTAGATTTTACCAGTGTTTCAAACGCCAAACGCTTGTAAACGTGCTTAACTGCATTTAGAAGCGTTTAACTTTTCCATGTCCAGAGCCTTTTTTCATCATCAGAAACACATGCAAAGGATTATCCATGTATTCAAACGGACCTAGTATACCAGCGCAGTCAGTTCCAGGTTTTACATGATGGAAAAAATGGTAGAACGTGCTGCATTATGGTCATGATTGGATCCATAGTGAATACAAGCAGAAAAGACAGGCAATGTCAACACATACTGCTCTCTCTGCTTCTGCTCTCTCTATTCCTCTCAAAAATGTCTGAAATCGTTAATATTTTACTATTTTTCAGTGCATTCTGGGCATTTGGGAAGGTCTCCTGAGGTTCTCTTTTAAAAACGCTTCTAAACGCACATAAACGCGGTATGCAAATGTGACTAAACTGATGGTTTTTTAACCTACGTTTTCCAGTAGTCAGAAGAGTTTTCCAAATGCCCCGTGTACATGAGCCCTTAATAAAAAAAAAACTAGAAACGTAAATTTATCTAGGATTCATATGTAAATCTCTCCTATTGAAATAGAAAACTTCATTTTGGCAGCATTAAATGGACTGACATTGAAGAATGTATAAAACATAAAAATAACAGGTTTCTTTTGTTTAAAAAAAAATTCTAGATCCTACCATAATCTTTTATAAATCTCTTTACAGTGGAACAGGTATGATGACCTATATTTTGGAGAGGCCCTTCCAAGCACTTGCATCAATAAAGATCTATAGTAACAGCTTACCTACAGGGCATGGACTGTTTTCTATGCTTTTTTGAGCCAGTAGAACTGCACAACTACGAGGCAGCTGTATAGACTTCTAGAAACAGTTGGCTGGTATGTCCACTGTTCATGTGCAGGTGGTTAATGGAAGTCCATGTAGCGGTCTAGCAGTCCTGTGCCGGTCTAGCTCAGGGAGAAGCAAAGAAAACAGAGTGAATGTTACGGTGTCTTTAGTTAATGAAGTGCTCTTGTGATGCTGGGTGCAGGATTTTTTGAAAATTTGCAGCTTTGATATTTTTGTACTGCAATAGGTGTATTTAATAAAACATTTTATTAAGCCAACTTTGTCATTTACATAACCACTTTCCACCCAGGTATTGAATTCCTATTTCACTAAAGAGGTGTTTTTTCTTTTTCAAATGTTCTATACACCTGCTGATTCTGATCTGAGATATGAATTCCTTATATTTCAAAATTTGTATTGTTTTTGTGAGAGTAAGATTGTACATGAGAGTGAATACATCCATATCCTGGCATCATCAGGATTCATATGCCATATAGAGTTATAAATGTAAAGAGAAAGTGATTTCAGCTCTTCATTTATTATTTATTAGTACAGGTACTTCTATAGTGCCGTCATTTCACATTTCACATCAGTCCCTGCCCTCAAGGAGCTTATTTCCTTTCACTTCAGTTGTTCTCACATCAACATGATCATAAAGATCCAAAAATTACAAACTAAACTGTATCTCCTCCAGCACTACAAAAATCCCCCAATCAGATCACTGCAACCTTTTATAGTTTTTTTTGAATACTAAGGAATAGGGAAAGGTAATGACAAAAGGGAATCTAAACATATCCTTCATTTATAGTACAATAATTTCAACCATCATACAAAAAATTCATATGAAAATACAAAGAGGATTGAAATGGAAAAGAAAATGGAAAAGAAAATGAAGGATAAGAAAGGCGAAAAGCCAAGAGAAGAAATGGATGACGACTCTGCATCAGGTCTTTGGGCAGAGTCGTCAAAAATATGGATTTCTGCACCATCTTTAATATACTAGGCATACATTACTATTCATCCTAAATGAATTTTTGGATCCTCATACTATACATGCTGCAATGTACATATGGGAAGCTTATTTGATGAGCACCACAAGACTTTACTGTCTGATGCAGGGGTAGACTGACAACTCATGGGGCCCCCAAGCAATAGGGGATCATGGGGCCCCTGTGTCCTTGGCCAAACTCAAAAAAGCCTATGAAAAAAGTACCAGGGGCATCTCATGGGGCCCCCTACTGACCCCGGGCCCTCGGGCAGTGCCCGAGTTTCCAATCCACCCCTGGTCTGATGATGCACACTCCATGGACTAATCCTAGCTATCTCTAGTGGCTACTGAGGAGCATAACAGAGCCGTCTCCTGGTTGCTCCCATTGACCTCTGCACATATCTATATGATCTTTGAAGCAGATTGTCAACAATCTTCAGACCTATCCAACAAGCAATTACCGCTCATTATGGATATACCATGAAGATTTTCATGTTTTCTTCTCAGTACAACCCAACCATAGAGGGCCACCACGGCACCATATCTGGCAAACACCTGTAACTGTTATTGCGTTTTTTTTACACAATCCTGTAATATAATGTTATACTTTTGTTTTGTCATTTTTTTTTCCATAATTTTTAATTGGAAAAGAACAAATATATTGAATCTACGGACCCCATGTAACCTCACACTTAATGAATGAATGAATTATTTAACATGCTCATTAATCGATCATTAATCATGATCCAATTAAGTTTGTTCATAATCAACTACAAAGGAATTTTTGATTTATGCCAACATCTTGCAATTCTAGCAGCTGGATATATATAGGAAATCAATTTGCTCCTAGATATGATTTTTATTTAAAGTATATGTAAACCTAAAATTGTAATTTAAGCAAACTACAGGCAAAGGACTTCTAAACTTGCACAAAATAGAGTTTTTCTTATTTAAATTGCTAGGTTTTTAATATACGCTTGATATGCTGCCACTTATTGCTGTGGTAACAACGCAAGGTGACAACGCTTACTAGACTGCATCTAATAAAACAGAGCATTGTCACCCTTCTCAGCACCCCTGCAAATGTACTGCAGCTATATGTGTAGATGCACACAATGCAAGTACTTACTGCCATAGGAAAAGCCTGTCCATCATCAATGGAAGTGATGAACTACTGATAACCACAGCTCTCCTCTACTGATGAAAAAAATAGGACAGCAGTCACATCATAAAAACACTCCATTTACTTGCATTTTAATTATTGCAGATTAGAATTGCTCTAAAACTTCATGACACATATCCTTCTTTCTTTGACGCAGGGGTCTCATGTGCTTTGAGTGTTGACTTGCAAATTTGGAGTTCCTAATTTCAGTTCCACCTTAACAAAGACTACACACATTTTCAAGGATATTTCGAAAGGTTAAAAGTTTACAAATGATCTAGAACAGCCGAAGGCATTTATTCAATACTTCTATGCGTGCCCAGTGAGACAAAAGAAAAAAAAAATCTCTATACTCCCTGGAGCATCCAACTGCATGTGGTTTACAGAGTGTAAAGTGTTGCCAGAAAGACATACCTGTCTGGCTACTTTCCTGGCTTCCCAGTATGGTTTGGAATCTTCCACAGATTTTCCAATTTTCTTTACCATCTCATCCAACCTCAGGGTAGCTTCTGTCAGCACAGAGCGGAATTTCTGCCGGGCCTCCTGAAATACATATAAACACATGAAGGAAGGAAGAAAATTATATTTTCCTTCCTGTAAAAATGATACCTTATGTTAACAAGACATTACTGCAAACGAGCATCAGATTAGGAGTAAAAACACAATTTACAAGGTTTGAAAATAATTTTTTTTCCAGCTACATAAACCTCTTCTAGACAGGCACATAAATGTCTAAGAGGACCCTAATTTACTTTATTTCTGTGTATATTAGGTCTCCAGAAAATGTGTAGGATACTTGATTGCAGTTAGTGAGAGGTTATAGCATATTTTAGAATGTTTACATCTTTGTTTATTTGTATTCTTTTCTTTTTTATAACTTTTATTCAAAGTAATTTGTGATTTATTCAGAATGTTTTTGGAAGCTTGTGATGCATTTAGGCTTGAAATATTGATATGAGAACAAACACAAACAACAACCCACCCCTCAGCTAACTTCCTAGGCCTATCAATTATTACTCTAAAGCCGGTCATAGATGGTTTAAATCTTGGCCGGTTCAGCAGGGACCACCTGAGATTTCAACAATCTATGGGCAGGCCGATTACGCCTAAGTCGATCCATCGATCAACCTGGGAGCATGCCAAATGTTTACATGTGATTACTGCGGCCATGGCCGCTAGCAATAATTACTGTATTCTCCCAGTGGAGACGGCTTCCTCTACCGGCAAAACACAATAGCTCTGTGGGAAGGATTCCCCCATCAACACTGTTGATGGGGAAATCAAGCAGTTTTCTTTCCTACAATCAGGAAAGAAAAATTGCATCATCTATGGCTTGCCTAACACTCAAAGTGGAAGATAAAGCTAATAACTACACTTAAAAAAAAACAAAAATGCCATCCCCCTCTTCTTACCTATTCCTGCATACCCGGTATATATATATTAAAAAAAAAAAAAAAAAAAAAAAAAAAAAAAAAGGGAGGAAGATCTGTATACTTGCCTTTTTTTAATCCACTAGTCATGTGATCCTGCAGCTCCGGCTCTCCCGTGTCAGTGAGCAGCTGCTGCAGAGGAGTGCAAGGAGCACTGACAACAGCTGGGCCATGGGAGCCCATGGGTGATGTCATTGCTCCAAGGATTCACAGCTGTTGTCAAGTGCTCCACAGGTGAGCCAGAGTTGCTGAATTGTGTGATAAGAAAGTATTAAAAGTATACATAGCCTTTATACAGGGTATGTAGGATAGGTACAAAGAGAGGGAGGGAACTTAAAGTGGAGTTCCACTCATCTGTCAAAAAATACAAGTCAGCGGCTACAAAAACTGTAGCTGCTGACTTTTACAAAAACAGCCACTTACCTGTCCCTCGGTCTTGTGGTGTGTCCCCTGCAGCCTGTTTCACCGGCCATCCTGTATTCCAGGAGGCCAGTATCTTCAGTGTGGGCACCCGGCTGTGATAGCTTGCGGCTTCACAGCCGGGTACCCACTGCGCATGTGGGAGTAGCACTGCACTTCGTGAATGGACCGGTTGTCTTCTGGGACCGGTCACATGTGCCAAAAGACTACAGAAAGGGAGGGAGGACACCTTTCCGTTTCCAATCGCCTAGGAGATTGGATCGGAAATGGGAGCGGGTACCTGTCAAATTCACTTTAAGTTCCCTCCCTCTCTTTCTACCTATCCTACATACCCTGTATAAAGGCTATGTATTAAGGAGCAGTCCTTAAAGCGGAACTTCCCCTTTTGGGTGGAGCTCCGCTTTAAGAATATTTGATGTAGCCTTACACTGAACTAACACTTAATCTTCCCCCTAAAACTGACTGTCAACCTACCCCCTAACATAGCCCTCATGATTGAGCCCAACTCTTGCTTGGGATGGGTGCCATTTAGGGGGAACACTTTTTCGGCATTGGTACAATTCATGGGGGAACACTTTGTGTATGTGCCATATGTGTGTGCCGTTGAATTTGCACTTATATTGGTCCAAACTGGATCAATGTAGTTATGCAAAAAGCTCTATACCTGGAATTCCAGTTTTAATCATTAACACCTAAAATTAACTCTAACTTGTACAATATGAAAATTAACTATTACTAGTTAAATTACGTTTACAGATTAACCTCTCTCCACTGGAACTTAAAACCTTAAAGTGGATCTAAACCCAAACCACTAACATCTTACATATAGACAAATTTTATATAGGAACCTCCTGTGCTTGTAAGCCTAAACTCTACAGATCTATATCAGCTGCCAACATCCAATCATATACCCGATGATGAATGCAAATATAAAGAAAGAAATGATGTGGTGTTACTACCAATACCTGTGCATTATGTCCTAAATGTACAAAAACTCATGTACACCATAAAAATACACAGTATATAAACAAACAATAACTGTGATATAACCTTCAAGTGTTAGTAACAAAGTGAATGTGATTGATACGAAATCAATAATGTGTGAGAAAAAAAAAAAAAACATTCATAAACATGCAATCCTATAAATATCAGTCTAACGAAGTGTGTGCACTGAAATGCACTAAACTTGAAAAAAAAAAACCTAATCTGGACTAAAATGTCCAATACACAAGTGATCGTGAATAATCCAATTAGTCCAAATTGGACCACAATAAGTGCTGCTTACTAAACAGATAGTGAAAAAAACATATACATAAATGCATAAACACTCCCAAACAAATCACACACAGTATAAAATCAAACTGATATCCCGGCATGCATGAAGTGCAAAAACAAGGATTCACATGCCGTGCAGATACATAAATATAATAAAAAGTCACATGAATATCAAACAGATATACCAGCATGCATAAAGTGCAAATGATGAATCATATACATATATAAAATATATATAAATCACGCTTGTATAAACCCGTGCAAACACACAGAAAAAAGTCCAAGCTGGGTGTAAACCACCATATATTCAAATATAGACTCCCGTGGAATTGCGTGATATATGTGCAAGGTGACAAGAGGGCATCCGCTGGTGGTAAAAATGCACGCTCACCTCCTTGCCTTGACCCACACAGGGTCAAAACGCTTTTAGGGTCACTATATCTGGATCATTCATGTATGGAACTCCTCCATAGCTGCGTCTCTTTCTCCTTGGTGGTTTCCCTCTTTCAAACAGGTATATATAGTGGCAGACCTCCTTCCCTGTGGTACCGTATAGTATGGCCAGTAACTCGTATAAAATAGAAGCAAAAGCTCCACTAGTATAATACTGTTTTATTATCGCATGTAAATATCACACAGGACCTCCAAAATTAACACTCATATTTTCCTCCTTCTTGTACAAAGCATAGATAGGAAAACCTCTTGCAATGGGTGTAGTTGCATGGGTGTACAAAGATGGCGTCCAACCAGAAGTGCGTCACCGCGCGCCTACACGTTACGTCACGTTGATCATGTGACTTCCTCAGGGCTTATATATGCTTTAACATGGTGTTGCCATTTGAAATTTTGGTTTCAATCTTTTTCAAATCTGCAGCTTTCATTAACAAAAAAAGCAGGAGATCCTACCATGAAGGTCTTTGTTTAGGTACTTCCTGTAATGGTATGACAACAGTTTCCCAATAGTGCATTTGCATTGTCACCCTATTGCATGCACCCCTGGTGGAGACTACAAGCTGCTATGCTGACACATATTGCATAGGTACAGTCAACTGTTGTCAACTTCAGAAGGTCAGTCAGTTCAGAACAATGTGTAGTTAGCACTGGAGTGAATATATGACAAAATGTGGCTGAAAGGGGTAGAGGAGATCAGCAGAACCAAGATACAAAAAAAGGCTGAAAATAGTATTTTACGCAAAAAAAAAAACACAAAAAAAAAAAAAACAACACACAACAGCAACTGTTTATGATACACATTTCTTTTGCAAACTAATTCAGTCTCGGTTTAGATCTACTGTAAGCTAAGCCCCCAAGTTTACCATCTTACCCTGATACAGAGCTAAATTTAACCCTTAATATGTTAACCTCAAAAATTGAACTGAAACTAAAATCAGACTGATACTAACCTTTTGTGCTCAGTGCCCAAATTTATCAGCATTGTGCCCATTTACATTTGTTTAGACACTATTCGATATTGCGACTATTGTAACATGTAGAACTGCAGTTGCTTTTTGTCTCATAATTGATCGGTTTCCAAAAAACTGAAATTAATGGTTTGTTGAGGTTACAGCACTATGCACATGATTACTGCTGGTTAAATTGCATTGTTGAAAAAGTAAATATAATCAATAAATTCAAACGAAATTGTAGTGGCTACATATTAGCATGTATGTATAGCAAAAACTATTTTTTTTTTTTTTTTAGCTTTTTTGAGGGTTAAAACCCCTGCCAATGTATTTTTTTGCTGCTTTTGTGTGCCATTTGGGGAAATCTCTAAACTAAACAGTAAATTACTTTAAAAATGATGAAGTGATGGGAATTCCCCTCATAGACAGTTGTCCCTGCAACATAGAAGGGTAAAATTTTCCTACTGAGGGAAGTAGAAAAAAAAAAATGCCTACAGATACATTTGAATTTAATTTTCCATTACTGGTGGAGTCTTGAATGGCAAAGGTACAATGGGATGCTCAAATCAGAGCAATAGCAAGCATTCAGCGCTCAGCTAGATATCAGTCTTTCTTGAATGTCAGCATTACAGCTGAATAGAAGACAACTCACAAATACATGTTGAAGTCATCAGGTTTAAATTGTAACTCAATGAAACGTCAGATGATGAGAATGACTAACGCTTCAAAACTGATTAGCGAGAATGGGCTGCAAGCCAAATTTTACAAGTAACTGTGACATTGGCTAATTGTACAGGGCAAACATGGCCTATATCTGCAGAACATCTACAAACAGTGATAAAGAATAGTATGAAATACCTCAAATGAAGACCGGCAACAACGAGTGCATTCAAAACAAGGCAGCCGTGACTATTTTCTGGGTTTTAATGAAAAAACAAATGTGCACTGCAGAAGGAAAATGTGGACAGTAAAAGAAGACACAGATTTTTTCCAGGGGCTCTTAACCACATCCTCG